AAGTATCAGCCTTTCACGCGAGCGTCTGTGTCAGGCCCTGCATGGTGCGGGGAGGCCAGGAGCCAGGATTCTGCCGAGCTGGTGTCTGCTCTGGCTTGTGCTGCGCGGTGTTGGCGTGTCTGGTATCTGGGGCATCAGGTCTCCCAGCGATGTGGCTCTGGCAGGTGTCTCTCGGCGTACTTCCTTCAGGGTGACTGACAGCCGCCACGCCGCGCCAGGCCTGCCCACTTCTCTCCGTGAGAGCGCGGCCGAGCGGGCGATATTGGGCACGCTGGGACAAGACGGCACGAAGCGTTTCACCTCAAACCCCGCGAGGCAGCTGGAGTGTCTCTCTGCTCTAGCCAGCTGCCTTGATCTCTTAAGAAAATCAATCAGTCAGGCACAACTTATGCTGAATGTTTTACGTTAGCACCCTGGCAGGTCAGTGGCCGGACAATGGATTTATACAACCATACTGCCTGCTGCTTCTTTTCATTCTGCACTGAATAATTTCATCGGATAACTTATTTGCTTCATTACCAGAAGCCAGGTGTCTGCTGACTGGATTTTTAGGGCTTTCTGTGAACCCTGCAGGGCTCAGAAGAGCCAGGCCTGTGGATCGCAGATCTAGATGATCTAGTCAGTGTTAAGGCACTGTTGCCGAAAAAATCATATAAGATGGACCCTACGTGAAAAATGCTAGGGATCGCACGAGTAAAAAGGACATGAAGAATAAAGCCAGGTGTACTTAGCCAATCGGTGATCAAGTTTCGTGGTCTAAATTCAGTCAGAGGTCAGGGAGCCAGGGTATCAATACTACAGCGATTGCCTGGGGGTTTCTTGGTTAGTGAGCCTTTAAGTATGCTGGGAGGCAGAAGGTGTGGTGAAGGGTGCGAGGTGCGATTGGCTGATTAGTTAATGAGCCGAATGGGCAGAACTGGTGACTGATTATCTGAAGTTTGCGGGGAAAGGGCAGGCGCGGTCGTGACAGTCAGTGTAGCTGGGTAGTGCCCGCTTGTCTTGATGCAGACCAGGAGCGGGCAGGGTGGAGTTTGCCAGCTGCCTCGGGCTGGGCAGCGCAGTACCGTTCATCCTGGAGCAAAACGATCTCGAGATTCCACTACAGAGTCACAGCCGGAGAGACACAGGAGGCCTTACACTACAACAGGAGTGTGCATTTAAAACCAAGACCAGGAGGCTCTTCTTTACACAAAGGGTTGTGGGAGTCAGGAACAACAAGCTGCCCAGCCATGTGGTTGAAGCCGATATTTTGGCTTCCTTTAGGATCCCAGCATCCTGGATGAGACCCTGGGATCTATTCACTGCTGACTACCATAGGGTGAAAGGGATTGAATGGCCTGCTCTCGTCTGTCTGTTTTGTTCTCATGAGACATGACTTCAGGGGACTCTGAACTCCCAGCGATCGGTGCAGAGGTGCAGATGTGCTGTTTTGACCTGCACTGAACAGCAAGTCATGCTTCCACAGCTGTGTTTCCACAGAAGGGGAGGAGAAATATTACTGATTCTAAGTCGGATACTTTATTTCACCTCCATCCCCTCAGGCGCCTGGCCTTAGATCACTTGACCCGGAGTCATAGCTGCAAACAGAAGCTGGTCTCAAGAATAACTCTTAGTCACTGAACTAGGGCGTTGTTGTCCGCAAACTGTAGCTCTGACTGTAGTAACTGTTTGTAAACCAAGACACATAGGCATGAATTTCTGCTTCTCTGCGGATGTTTTCCAGTTATGTGCAACAACAAATACTATGCTTCCTTTTTGCAGCTGTTATCAGATAAAGCATTTTTATCAATCAATTAATAGCAGGGTACTTAAGAGCAACATTAGCCCTCAGAATCCAAAGGCTTAAATGTTTTGTGGCCTAAAAGCATTGGAGAAAAAATAGCATAACTCTTGAGCAAATACACCTTTTTGGCTAATTAGGACTTTAAAAAATTATGATCCAAATAAAATAGAGAAAGAAAGGGAGAAAGTTAGAAAGTCTAACCCAGTTATATTGATCTGCCACTGGGAGAAGATAAGTTATCTTCAGGACAATTTGGCCAAACTGAATCTTAAAAAGGGGGTAAACCTTTCTTAAAAAAAGGCTGTATCTTGAATTTTATGCAGGACCTCCTCATGTCCAAATGCAAAAATTAGATTTCTGCACTTTTATCAATTTCTAACATCTAGGAAAAGTAATATCTTGGTTTGTTTGTCTGGTAGAAATAATTTAAATAAATCAATCAATATTTTTTTATTTACTCTAGTGCCACATAGCAAGTTAATATAACACTTTCTTTTGAATATCAGAAATTATTGTATTAAATATTTGTATAGATTAGAAAAAAATACTTAATTATAACTTTGGGAATTAATTCCCTAAAATTACAAGAATATAGGAGGTTCTCATCCAGTGGTTTTATAAAGCGACAGTATCAGTTTGGGTACATGGCTATAAATAAAATCTTATTTTTATTTTTTTTAGTATGAGAAAAGGGGGTCAGAAAGCATGAACAGGAAACGGAATACTTGTGTGAAAATAACAGGCCCCGGTGATGCGTTCTTAGTGGTTAAACTGCAGTAAATTTAGAAAGAGGAAGTCAGGCGGCTGTGGTTCAAGTCTACTGCATTTCTTCCAGCGGTTACCTATTCTAAACAGCAGAGGGAGCAGTTCTGCTTCCTGGCCGCAAAACAAGTTCCTGAAAGCAGTCTAAAACTTAGAGCAACGTTGCATACTGTACATAAAAAAGTCCTACAGCATATTGTGACCACGATCCTGAAGGTTTCCTGACAAAAAGCTATAAGACAATATAATTAAAATCGTTTTGTGAACCATTTAGAATACCTAAAGAACACTTTAAGGTAAGGTTTTGAGCTCTCATATTCCAGCAGAGTAATCAGTGTGTCTCCTGAAGAATCATGAAGATATTTCTACACAAGTAGCCACATTTATGTTGCTTCTCTAGTAAGGTTAATGATGAAGAGGGTTTTTCCACTGCTGTTGATAGTAGTCATTAAATGGGACCGCAAGGCTATTTTTCTATTGCAGGGTTAGAATGGATCTGCATAGATGAGTGCATTTACAATGAAAGTAAAACCAAAAACCTCCAATTAACATCACAAAAAAAAGACTTAATTTCCTGGTCTGCGCAGCACCATGTTCTGCAATTCAGAATGAGGCAACAAGACTTCTGGTGTCGTGAAGCAGCCCTTTGACACAGTAAACAAGCAGGCTGGTGAAGACATCGCTTCTAATCACACTGAAATATTGCTCTCGACTTTGAGACGGTTGTGCCGACAAATACTACTTACTAGTTAACTCTGCCTGCAGATCACGTTGGAAGATTTCTGCAGTGAAATAAGTCACATTACAGTCATCATTACAGAGACTAGTGAGCAGGAAGAGCCTTCAAGTGTCCCCATCACTATACTGGGGCATTAGGACCCACACAGACTGCAGGGTGAGCGCCCCCTACTGGCCCCACTAACACCTCTTCTAGCAGCAGCCTTAGCTTTCCCAGGAGGTCTCCCTTCCAGGTACTGGCCAGGCTCACACCTGCTGAGCTTCAGTGGGCTGCCAGCTGGGAGCTACAAGGTGATACTGATGGAATAAAAAAAAATGTAAAATCTTGTGATATCATCAATTCATTTATTTTTTACTGAGATTTAATGACCGGCCTGGAAATTGGGACTTCAGTTTCCTTTTAAGTCTAGTTGGAAAGCTCTGCCTTGTGAAGGAACGCAGGTATGTCTGTACACATCGCAGAAGGGAAGCCAGTTCCTGAATACACGATCACGCCTGGCTAGCCTGCCTTCGGGAGGTTAGAAACTGGAGCGCGCAGTCAAAACCTCTAAAACTCACAGCAGACCCCAGACTCCGTACTCCGTCTACCGAGACCGTAGTCGCACCCAGGGCCATGGGACTGAGAGATAGCGGTACTGTCATCATTGTGTCACATTTGCGCTCCTTGTACGCTCAGAGTTACTGCATTGCTATATTTGAAAGAAGCCAGGGTTTCCGACTGGCAAGCTAGTTGCATACTCCCACATGCCTTGGCGTGAAGAAGTGCCCTCTGTTCTGTATTTTACATTCACTTCCACTCGTGCCCTCTGGTGTGTGTGGCGCTGTTGACTCTGAAGGAACTCCGCTGGGTGGACTCCATCGTTGTCATTATTTTCCTTGTGACTAAACACGACTGGGAGCTCTCTGCCCTCTTGACAGCTGGAATCCCAGCCTAAAATAAAAATGCATGCACGTTTTAAAAATATGAACCATCTGGGCACTTGTGGTGCTCTTACTGCAAAGGTAATTCACAAATGAACCCTCATTTTCGACACTGCCGAAATCGCTGCGGCACTCAGGAAGCTCCATCAAGGTCACAATGGTTTCCATGTGTCTAGGTGGTGCTGCTGCTGGTCTGGCATCGTATTTCCAGCACCTACAGCTGTCGTCCCACACAGAGCGCACGGAATGTTAACTGCTCTTCTTTTTTCACGTAAGGTTCTCAGCTGACACCTGCCCCCCGCTGTTTGGAAGGAATTCCCCCCCCCAGTGTTAGTTAATATGATTTTAATGTATTCATTCTGTTTATTTCCCCATGTCAGCCATCGCTCCTAAAGGAACAAGTAAACTACAAAAGCGAAGCTGAATTCCACACTGAAAAGCAGAAAAAGAATCGCAATGCCCGCCTGCAGAAGGTCCAGCAAATGAAACTGTTTCCCATCTTTCAGCACGGAGTGAACTTTCACTAGTTCCTCTGGAGGCAGCGCACACTGACACAGCTCCCTACTCCAGCCTCTTCAACCGCTGATAAAGACTGTCATGGCTCTGGAGCCAGAAACACCTGTAAATACCTAGACCACGGTGATTGCAAGCACCTCTTTGTTTCCCTCCACAGTGTGGAAAAGCTGGAGGTGAATCCAGTGTTTTTCCATTGCACGTCCTTCTAACGCAAACACAACTACACAGCCAGAGTTTGAAAAGCACCCTCCACACATAAAAGACACGGGAAATGGGCTGAACATCCGTTTTTAGTCTCACCTCGCGACATTTACAATCCACTGGAAAGTGTACTTTTCAATATGTTCACTTACATGTAAAGGTCTTTCTGACAGTCACTCATGATTTATTTCAGTCGAATGCTGATCGATATCGGCCCCTTGTAAATGTACATTTAATGGTTTGACCTGGTAAATCAGTGGAGAACAAATTCTCCATTTACAAAAACGAGCTGGAGATCAATTTACAGCACAGGGACCAACCAGGGACTTGAACCCACAAGCTGGTCTGGAATACGGAACCCTTACATCTGCCCTGAATTGCATATTTTAATATATTCAGATTATAATTAATAATATATAGCATGACACTGTGAGTAATGTACCACTTTGTAAGGGAAGTTTGTACATTGCTGTAGTAACACCACACACAGCACAGATTGTGTCCTTCAGCAATATGTCTGTGTGACAGCTCCCTGGTGGCATTTCAAGAATGAAGATATAGAAGTCGTCGCTGGAATATTCCGAAGAGGGGGGACGATGGGTATTTGGGGGATAGAGATAGATGGGGTGTAGAGATATCATCTCCTCTTCAGCTCTGAGGTTCCATTTCCTGGACCACGTATTGCTTTCACCTCAGTGGTGCACACTGACTACCTTCACCACACCCTGATCTCTATTCCATTTCTTCTGCAAGTCTTCTCTTAGTCTGACCTCGTGTGCAGTAATCGACGTTCATGGGAAAGTGGGGAAAATACAAGGACCACTTCTTGGGAAGAGAAAATCAGAAATAAAGCTGTCCGAATTCAAGGAGCCAGCAGACTGTGGCTTTTAAGAAATGTCTTCTCTCAGGGATGTGTATTTCCTGGCAGATTAGTAGTAATCGTCGTACTCTCCTGGGAGCTCCGATGGAAACGTCTCTGCTGTGCTCAAGGGCACAAGGGAAGCATCCACATCTGGAAGAAATAGAAAAACAACTGGCAGGTTCCAAGCTGCCACATCAAACCTGTGTGAACTGGGGAGAGACTTTCTCGCTCTCCTGAGCCATCTCAGAGCAACGATCATGATGGCTTGAGATCTGTTTTGCCAATCACTCCCACTTCTTATCCTGCTAAATTCCCATTACCTGTCCTGCCCTATATTCCCATCCCTTATCCTGCCATATCCCAACCACCTATCCTGTCATATTCCCACTACCTGACCTGACATTCCGTACTCCCACTGTCTCTCCTGTCATATTCCCACTATCCTGCATAATTCCCATTGCCTACCCTACTATATTCCCACTATCCTATCATATTCCCTGTGTCTCTCCTGCCATATTCCCATTGTCTGTCCTACCACAATCCAATTGTCTCTCCTGCCATATTCCCACTGTTTATCTTACTATATTCCCACTATCTCTCCCTCCAGATTTCCACTTTCTTGCATAATTCCCACTGTCTCTCCTGCCACATTCCCACTGTCTCTCCTGCCACATTCCCGCTGTCTCTCCTGACACATTCCCACTACCTTGCCCAAGAACCGTGAGGTCCGCTGATGCCGAAACGCTGCCCAGTCCATTGTGTGCGATGCAGCGGTAGGTGCCGGCGTCTCCCAAGGTGACGCCTTCAATCTGCAGCCAGCTGGAGGTCTCGTACCTCAGGGGTCCTCCTCGAGACTGGCACACCGACACAGGAAACGGCAAAGGACTACTGAGGCTGCACTACAAACTACATTCTGACCACAGGCCTGGACAGACAATGACACGCTGGTGGGTTCACTGGCTTCTGAGACACCTGGCCCTGGTGTGAGTGTGTGTGTGCGTGTGCCCTGCGATGGTCTGGCGTCCTGCCCACGGCGTACCCCGCCTAGCGCCAGAAGGCAATATTTCTTCCTTTTGAGGGTTTGAGGGCAAAGGTTGGAATAACACGTTTTTTGTTCTTCTCTGTACTTTCATCCTTACATTTATTTTGAGCAATTAAATAAGTCTGCTCTTGAGTCTTTCATCTTCAGTGCTCCATTAAGAAGATTCTTTTCAAAACCTTCCCTGGGTAGAATGGATTAAAGCCATCTTTTTAGATTTCCCATAAAATGTATAACTGGCATTTCTAATGATTTTCTTCTGGCAAGGCAGAGGCTGTGACTTTTTTTTTATTATGTTAGTGTTTTATTTGTTTGTAGTTTTATTTTGTACTATTTTGGTGTATTATTATGGGGTGGTGCAGTGGCTCTGCGGCTGGAAGGTTGCCGGTTCGTATCCCACGGCCGGCAGAGGAATCCTACTCCGTTGGGCCCCTGAGCAAGGCCCTTAACCCCAACTGCTCCAGGGGCGCCGTATAAATGGCTGACCCTGCGCTCTGACCCCCAGCTTTTCTCTCCCTGTCTGTGTGTCTCATGGAGAGCAAGCTGGGGTCTGTGAAAAGACAAATTCCTAATGCAAGAAATTGTATACGGCCAATAAAGTGATCTGATCTAATCTTTATGTCATGGCTTACCTGTACAGAAATGCGAGGGTCGTCTCCGGGAAGAATGACGTCATCGCCGTCCCTTCTCCACTCGCTGAGCGCCATGGGAAACGCGAAGACCTCGCAGGGGAAGATGGCGCTGTCGCCCGTCGCGGTCACTAAATTCGCGGGCGGGCGCTTGATATCGGGGACTGAAAGATAGTAAGGAGAACAACGGAGTGTCTCCTTTTTTTTTTAAATTGGATAGTCTCGGACAGAGGTTAAATTTATGACTTCAGGATAGGCTCAGAACAGCCTCGAGTAGGTTAGGTTCCTCAACCCCCGTGGTGTGACCTTCCCCTACCGGTCACCTTTACGATTTTTTTGTATCAGGATAACTTCCCAGAAACTGCTTCTTTGTTTCTAACACAACGTCCATCATTTCGCCGTGCGTCGCCTCCGTGGGTTTTGATCATACTGCAGTCCTTTGCGACAGTACTGTACTGCAACACGTGTCGCCCTTGCAATTCGCTATATACTGTATGGGATCATGACACAGGAAACGTGGGATAAATGGAGCCAGCCCACTTATATTAAAACCATTCCGCTGCTACCCCAAAGGTGACTCCCAAAATAGCACAGCTGGGCTCTGTAAAAGCAAAGTTTCGTCTGTTGCGCTTAAAGGAAAATATGCCCCGATGGTCTAGAAGTATTTTAATTAACCTAGTAAAGATATGGCTTGGACCCCTTTACCTTCTATTTATGCTGTTTACACCCATGTCCAAAAATGACATACAGGGCCAGAAGAAAGCGATATCAACATTCAGCAGACAGTAGTGTCCTTTCTCAAAAGAGCTATACTTCAGCGAATATTAATAACGATAATATTTCGTTCCCTTTCCCATTGTGGGTATCTCGTGGACCTGGGCACAAAACCTGGGACTTATCCTAATACATCACGCCAGAAAACATCACCCACGGCAGTATGAGGCAACAGGACGAACTTTCTCACTAAACCTCAGCTCGTCTGTTATTTCGGGGGAAGTTGTGACTCTCGCCGCATCACCTGAAATACTCACATCGGCAGAATCGTGGAGAGTCCATCAAATGGCTGTAAAACAAGATCGGCGTTTTAAACAGAACAAAAGATAGTTAAACTCCTCTTTTCTCTGCACCCTTTCTGGGGATCTGGGCAGACGAGGATGTGTGTTTCTCCGATGGAAGTGTACAGTACCTGTCTGGCACGGCCCGCTGCTGTTGAAACGGAGCGCCTGAGAGGACAGCTCGGCTTCTCTGAACTTACAGATGTTCTCGTAGGTTTTCCCGTCGGAGCCGCAGAGCGCTTCCTGGGACTTACAGGCGCACAGCGGCTCCGGGACCTCCCCCCGGCTCAGGTCGGAGGTGTCAAGCGTGCACTTCAGGTCGGGTCCACAGAGCCCGTAAAAGCCGCTGGTCCGGTCCAGATCACACGGCTGCCCTTCCGAGTTCCCGCACTCCAGGCAACAGCCGCAGCGGTCCGGGACCAGCCCGGCTCTGCAGCCCACGGCCTCGGCGCAGAGCTCCGGCGAGCACCCGGCGCACCTCGCCCGCTGCCCGCGGCCCGGGGTCCCGCTGCTCTCCAGCGCCCCGGCGGCGACAGCCTCCGCGCCTCCCGCTTCGCTGCCGGTGGGGAAGCCTGCGCTTTCGCCGGTCCACAACAGCCCGAGTATCAGCAGGCTCCTCCAGCGCGACATCGCAGTCAGATCTGGTTTAACAGAGCTCCATTTTTGAGGATTTCGTTTTCGTGTGTTTGTTACAAACTCCCGCTTAGCAATACCGTTCCTGTGTCGTTTTCCCTTTACAGCTGGGCTGTGGTATCGCCGTGCACCTTAAATCGAGCTGCCAAGCTGTGCGCCGGGTGTCCCGCACGTGTTGTGTCTCAGTTCAGCTCCAATCGGAGGGAGGTGCAGCGGAATTAAACATCAACTCGCGTAGTTCTCTGCGGGGAGGGTTTTTGACGTTTATAAATAATAAAACAATAAAAAATGATCCTAAAACGTCGGGTTAAGGGTAAACAAGGCAAATCCGGCCAGGAGCCTTAAACAGGTGGCGGCTAATCTTAATATATATATATATCGATTTCCCTGATCAGGATGCGCAAAGACTTCCAAATTCAGACCTGGACTCGGAGATCTGCGCCCCCTGTTCCCCCCACTCCAGCCTCACGCCGACTGCTCTCTGCTCCAGCGAAGGCGATTCCGTCTGGAGCTGCAACAACCGAGACCCGTCCTCCAGGCGTCCGCGCCCGTCTGGCTGCAGACCGGTCTAACTGCGCTCCGGACTGCGATCAGGATTTAAATTCTTCAGCAACTGCGCTTCCGTCGCGTGATGGACTGAATCCTTGAAGCCTTAGTCAGAGAAAACCACTAGGTGACCTGCTACAAAATCCTCCAAGCCCCTGTCAAAGCTAACCCAGCGGACGTCTTCAGAAAGATTTGAAGTTTTGAAGGGATTTGAGCGCAACACCAGCCGGGGCGCACAAGTGGAAAATACTTGAAAGTGCGTTAAAAAAACCGAGAACAGAAGACGGTCATTCATTTAGAGGGAGCTGGGACAAACTACCCAGCCACGCTGTTGAAACCGATATCACGGTGCCCTTCAAGAAACAACTGGATGAGACCCTTTTGATCAACGAACTTGCTAACTACCAAACCAGGCCAGACGGGCCGAGCGACCTCCTCTGTTCTTATGGATATGAACTGTATTGTAACTGTAGGGTTCGTGCGATTGTGGTTCAACCCTTTGCCTGTAAGGACGGGAACTGCGTGGAAACTGATACTCTTCTTAGGTTTTTTTTTAACAATCTCATTTCCACCTGCCGCGTCCTGTCTCTCCCTTTCTGATCTCCCTCTTTACTATTCACACTATCACGTGTAAACCACCCGAAAACAAAGGAATGTATATTCACGTGAACCTACCGATAAACCGAAACAGAGAATTCTGTATAACTCAAAATATTTTAAACTGCGTGACTGAATAAAACAACACTAACACGGGACAATTAGCTCACAGTATCATTATATGCGCGGGTGGCAGCGGTATCACCGGGGCGAGGACAGAGTTAACGGTAATGTTATGCCACTAAATCACATCTAAGCGGACAGCCTAGTAAATTGAAAACTGCGTTTTCCCCGATTCGGACCGCTTTCCGCTATGTAGGGAGGTCCCTTCTCAGGCCATCAAGGCCCATAGGGGAATGGGGGGGAAGGGACACCATTTGTCTTGACCATCCGACACTGGAGGTGGAGGTGATGTGGTCAGTATCACGCTCCGGCCGACCTATTACCCCCTGGGAGCCGTCTGTAAGGAATTAGAGCAAGCTCCATCGCTGTCCCCTACCTGGGATTGAACCCGGGACCTTCCAGACGGGAGCTAGACGCCCTTCGCTCCGCTTTCTGC